GGCTCCCTGAGGGGTTGGACATCCAGCTACTTCCCAGGAGCTACCACAGAGCCACAGAGAAGCAGTTTCCGCAACGGGCACCTGAGAGCACAAACTTGTCTTGGTTGCCTGGTGCCGGAGGTCCCCGGATCACCAACACCAGGGGAGCTTCCTTCAGGCCCCCCAGTTCAGGGCACTCTGTCCACGCCCACCTGAGGCTCTGCAATTCTCTGACAAAGGCACAACTTTCACCATCAGGACTGCTCAGAGATGCAAAGGTCAACAAAGCCCTGGGCTCCTCACCATTTCCGACGCGCTGCATCCTCTCAAAACTGGTTTCTCAGTCGCGGCAAACAATGTACCACCCTGCCCAGCTGGAAAGGATTCTTTCCCAGTTCTGTAGGTCTAGAGAGGGCCTACAAGGATCTCAGTTTGTTTTAAGTAAAAGATGGTGAAGAACTCAAGTGACACTCACAAATCGGGAGCCGCACCTCACCTCGCCCACCAGCTCGCTCTCCACAGCCTGGGAATGGCAATGGCACCTTCCCAGCCCACATTCCTTACCTCTGAGGGAAGGCAGCCCCCAGAATTATGCAAATTCCCCCATTTCTGTGGGAGGCAGCAGTGTGAGACAAGAAAGAGATTTCAGCATGCTTTCTGATCCAAGTCATGATAAAATATCTTTGCCTCTGCAAACTTGTGCACTAGACTTGAGGCTACTATTTGAAGACTGGAGCTGTCAGATACATGCCCACCTCCTTTCCAAAAGACTACAAAGAATGCTGGCCAGATCCAGATCCATAAACTTAAATATTTTGGCTCAAAATACTGCCCCTCATACTTGCATCAAAAGTTGTTTATGCCTTCCCCTGAAATGACAGATTATCAGAAAACACTCATCTAAAAAATGTACATATATTACAATTAAATTAATGCAGCAGTGGAAAAGAAAAATATGTATGAAAGGGTCTGGATTTCAAGAATCCACTGGCAAGGGTTGCCCGGGCAGAGAGGAGAGAGTGACAACCTTCACACACACACACACACACACACACACACACACACACACGGTAAGTTATGATAGCCACCTAACTTTTTATTTTATTTTTTCCTTCTCCAATGCTATGCAATCTAATCCCAGCAGTAGGAATGCGTTCTGGGTTAGACCCACTGCAGTCTAAACCAGTAAGAAGGATCCCGAGTTGCACAAGACCCCCAGATAAGAAAATAACTGCAGAATTCTCCAGTGCTTCGTGTCCAAATTCAGTTTCAGAAAGGGAAGGGGCTGCTACCATCATCAGTTCAGGCTGCGATCAATAAGGTCTCCGGAACCTGACTCTGGACCTGACTTATTGCAAAACTCCTCGCCGCTAGATCTCCGGGCTCGGCTCCCCTATGGGCTCTGCGCAGCTATGTGCTTGCTGACTAGGCTCTCTCTACCTGAGAGAAATACACAGTCCCCGGTCAGCCTGCCCTGCCTCCATTCCCATTCGCAGGACCTGGAAGTGGAGAGGTCCGTGTGTGTGGTGTGGTGTGTGTGGTGTGTGGTGTGTCCTGGCTGGGGAAGGGGCAGCAGAGGCAAGGCTGAAGAACGTGCCCAGGGCATGCCTTTCGGAGGCTCAGCCATAGCTCAGGGAAGAGGCATCATTCAGTCCCTCTGCACACCCCATGTAACCCGGAGCCGCTAAGGGGCAGCTACGACCCTGGGGCCCCAAGCCATCACCACCGGGCTCCTGGTCCGGGCGGCCCGGGTGGCCCCTCGCTCCCCACTCCTTGACCACACTGCCGGGGAGGAAAGGCGGTCTCCACACCAGCGTTCCCAAAGCTCTTCGGTCTGGCCCCAAACCGAGCAGCGGGACCAGCAGAAGAGTCCGTTCCCCTCCCGGAACTCCAAGGAAAGTTTCCCCGTTTTCCTGAACGCAAGGATCAAATGAATCGCAAACACCCCTCCGGCTCCCGTGCGCTCCGGGCTCGGCGCCTCCACCGCGGGCACCACCGGAGCGCAC